ATGAAATTGACGTAGACACAACTTTTTCAAGTAACTTTTTGTTGAATTCGATCTAGAAATGCACTTTTTCAATTTTTCTCAAAAAATTGACATATAAAGTGACATATTCTTGAAAAATTGCCTATGAACAACATCACAAATTAGACAAGACAATGAATTAATTCATTAGTAATTTTACACAAATGAAGTTTTTGAAACTAGACGCTATTGTAGGTTTTCACGGATGGTAGAATATGATGTGTTGTTTTTCCGGGTGTTGTACTATTCGATAGTCGACGTTTCGCCATCATCTCAGATGGCATTATCAAGACGAGAGTTACACCTCTCGAAGCGAAGCAGTAACTCGTCTTATGTGGACAGAAGTCTGTACAGAAAAATTGTCTTTCAAAATAATCCTTTTGGGACCGTTATAGGAATTCAAAATGTCGTGTGAGTACTATTAGAGGATTAATGGAAAATATAAAATGTTTCATTCAAAAAATGTAACTCATGATCATTCAAACATACTTGAAGGTATATGATTCGCTATTTAAATAACAACATTCACTGTTTTCACGTTTTTGGAAATTCTTATTTTTTCTCTAGTGAGTTTGGTAATATTTCTACCTATTTCTTACATTCCTAAAGAAAATATATTAAATAATTTCCAGCTGGGTAGGTATATTCAATTCGTTCCCAATGAATAACATAAAAACAAACAAAGCAAAGACGTTTCGGAATTCAACAACCGTTTACATGTTGAAATCAGAAAGTGGCGATCATATGTAGGTGCTTTTTATACCATCTGGTGTCTATTATGGAATTTTTTGTATTATAACAAACAAAGTCACTTTCCAACACATACTGGCGCGTGCGATGAAATACTTCATTAAAAGAAACTTTGTTCATTCTATACATAATTCTTGTTATCTCCACTCGATCATAATATAGTTCTGTATTTAGATTCACAAAACTCTTGTTATAATCGAATTGAGTTATTTGAAGGAATACAGTTTTAAATTTAAACAAACAATATGTGTTCAGATCAAGTTGATATTGCTCTCAATTTGAAATGGTTTATTTTTCTCTTCAAATAGGTGGTAGATTTTGATATGATATTATATTTTCTTGATTCAAAATAGTTCGTCTTCGCAATAATATAATCAAACGAATGATGTCTTCGAAAGTCCAAGAAATTTGATTTCTTCATTAAAAAAAATTTTATTCTCTTGTGGAATATGGCGCTGTTGGCATGAAGTAATAGTTTCTCCAATAGAGATTAAAATTTCAAAGCAACCTATGATCTTCTTTGAAAGAAATACTTTTACTGTGTGCAGACTCACTTTCTTTCACTCGGGAGCCCTGTAGCTTGAGTGTGAGGGAAGGATTATTAGTTTCTTTGTTACTTTTCGTATATGACCAGAAGTGTTTTGAATCGTTATTAATGTGCTCTTTATAGCACGTATCAATTAGTTTTTTCAATGTTCGTCTCTCCTCAACATGTAACTGCATATAATAGTTGGATAGATTTTTCAACTTTCTTAGTTCATTTTTCCGTTTCAAACATTTTTTTACTTCATAGGTGAACCAAACAGGAAACTTTCTTTTTTTATTTTTTACTCGAGGTACTAATTCATTGAGAACGTCATATATTTTACTATAGAAAAAATTTACCGCGTCATTAACATTTTCTATTTCAAACAATGCGGTCCAGTCAATATCTCTGATTTTATACGAAAGCTGTAAGAAATCACACCTTTGAAAATTATATACAGTTTCTGTTCCAAAGAAGGTATTCTCCCTATTACTCTTACTATTTTCTAGTTCAATATCAATTAATAATGCAGGGTGGTTTGTATCCTCTTCAATCAATGGAAAGTCAGATCTAGATACTTTTAGAAACTCGCAATTTTCATTAGCTGTTAGCACGAGATCAAGTTTTCGATTATTATTATTGAGAACTTCATTCATTTGTTCCAAAGCATTTAAGTCCGTGAAGTCTAAAAAAGTCAAATGTCTGTCATCCAAGCTTGTTCGCACCATTAACTAGGATGTCAAATTTTGTAAGTTGAAGTCACCAGCGACGTACACATTTCTGTTATCATCGACCATTTGTTCATAAAAATCAAAAAAACATTTGTAATTTTCAACAGCTGATTTCGGAGGAAAATAAACTACAAAAAGAGAGATTACTATTTTTCTCAACCTCACTTCAACATGCAGAGCGTCGAAATCACTTTCTCTTTTCTCCCAGTCTGAAATTTTAAATTTTTTACTTACCCCTATCATAACTCCTCCTCCCCTATCTTTATTCGTTATATGCGGATTTCAATCGCATTCAACTATACTGTATATTGATTCATTTAACCATGTTTCTGTCCCCAGTATTAGGTCATAGTTTTCTCCTTCAGTACTTAATTTGAAATTATTCAACTTTGTTCTCAGCCCCCTAAAAGTCTGATAATAACAAGATATATTTTCCATTTCGGCTATTGTATATCTGTACGTTTATAACTATATAAATGTAACGAGAGTATTTTTTTATTATTTATGAGAAGATTATTAGAATTTAAAGTATATACAAAAAGAAAAAAAAAACAGATCAGTTGTGTTGTGTTACCGCGCCTAATCGTGTAATCTAATTATGTTTCAGTTCAAATCACTCCGTTTAATTATTTTCCTTCTTCTACTGCCATCATTCACAAAGACATCACCGTTCATTGTCCACACGTTTCTATATGAATATTTGGTTGTTGCTGCTTTCATCAACTCGAGTTTTGCTTCGCGAGTCTATCCAAATCCAAGATAGAGTAAAACAAAACAAAACCGAAGCGTGATGTTCACGTGATCGCCCAGTGTCAGATGGAAAGGGCAGCGTTCATTGGTGAATTCGCCTTCTTGGTACGAGTTCGGTACCAGCACAGNTATAATGCTTGAGTGCGCTGTGAAAAATCCAATGAAAATATTTTTATATTACACATATTATCTGCATTTTCCCCGTTAAACTGCAAAACTTGTGCATTTCACTCGTTATTATAAAAAAGTTTTCCTAAGTATGCGATCCTAAGTATGCGTGTTAGGAATCACACGTTAAATCCTTAATTAATCCTTAGCTCGCACAAGTTTCGACTTCTGAGGGTTGTCGTTCGTAGGGGTGTGACAGCTGGTTAACGGAAAAACAGATTTAAACAGATTTTTAAACAAGATGTTGGTTCTGAATACGACCCTGGCCAATTCTTGGGATTTTCAATATCACGTGGGTAGGGCATGTCAATGTTTACATCCACTCTATCTTGGATTTGAATTTGCTTTAGATCCTCTCTAATTACCACGCCACTGCCTTTCAATTGTCGTCTATTTTCCATAACTTCTTGTCTATCTTTATAATTGTTTGTTTTTTTCCACATTTGTTTTTTTTTTATAATTGGACGACCAACTCGATAACAATATTCAGTGCTCGCTGATATAATAATTTTTAATTTCATGGTTTTGTTTATCAGATTATATATTAGATCCTCCGTATTCTCATCTTCACATTTTTGAATGCCAAATATACGTACAGTTTCTTCTCTGTAACTGGTCGTGCTTGAGATTGAAGATTTTCATTTTCACTCCGAAGTGCTTTCATCTTTTTATCTCTTCTATCTTCTCTTGATGTTTCGACATTATTTCATTCACTTTGACATTCAAGTGATCGGTAACATTTTTTATCAATGATCCGACATTATCGCCTTCATAGTGGAACTTGAGGGTCATACTAAATATTCAATCAATAGAAGTGGTACAGCTATTGTTCACAACTTTGTTGTTTCACACTAATTACTAAGATTTATGCGTTTTAAATACAATTCGCTTGCAGAGCACACACTCACGTCTACTCGCTTTGACTGTTCATAGCATATTATATTATATGCTAACATTTCTTACTTACTATCGAGAGAATAATGAAAAATGGATTTATATAAAAACAGTAAAAATATTGATAAAATAAAATGATGGAACTGACTTTGACATATTTTTAAAATCAGGGATAAAGTACCTGGGGGATTAATGGACCAATCTCAAACAACAAGACAGATTGGAAATAATGGACCACTTGCGTGGCCAGGTAGATCCCAAAACCTTTAAGATTTTTTGTCTAGTCATACATGAAGGATACAGTTTTTTCAACTGAAACGGATATCGACCATTTCAAACGAAAAATAAGTGATGCATGTGATAGCATTACACTCATCATGCTAGAAAATTACCACAGAAATTTTATATACAGACAACTTATGTCCATTCAACAAATATGTCGTCAATTTAAGCATGTAATGTAGTTTTTCATGTAGAATTCATTTTCCCTATCGGTTTTATTTTCCCCTAAGAATTCATTACATAATGAGTACTTTCTCTGTTTGATTGTTGAAATTGATGATGCTACTTATTTTGAATGAAACGCTATAAAAATATCAAGTGTTTTATACCGCTTTATGAATATTTGTAATGAAAGAGACACATTCGTATTTCAAAAAAAAAAGTTGATGGTGACCGTGTTGACTCGAAACATTCAGTCAAAGATTCATTATCACATCATTATGGTACATTTCGGATACAAAAAAGCTTTCCTTTTCTACAGTGTGACACAATTGAGATGAAGGTACCTCTGTATTTTAGTCATTTTTGAAAGCAGATATTTGATTTTTGGTACAGGCATAGATCTTCATGAGCCGCATATTTTGCAATACTTAACCCGAGCGATAGCCTCAGACCCAGCCTACTGCGATTCCGCGAAAAGGGCAAATTCTCGATATTTTGCTTCGCGTTGAAGATACCAAAATAAGTTATTTGAAAAGTTGCTTATAAATAGATCTTGACCCTACATACCAAATTTCCACCAGAAATTCGAAATTTCAATTTGTAATTTTCATATTCAATTTCGATTTTCAATAATGGTTCCCAATAAGAAGCTACACAAATGATAAAATAGTCGTGTGCTCAATTAGGTACACAAAAACTCTACCGGAAATATTTTTCAGGCGATGCGTGTCACCCGTACGAACCATTCAAATGTCCTGGAGACGGAAACTGTATTTCTATTCAATATTTATGTGATGGAGCTCCTGACTGTCCTGACGGATATGACGAGGACTCACGATTATGCACAGCCGCTAAGAGGCCGCCAGTCGAAGAAACTGGAAGTTTTCTCAAATCTCTCTTAGCAAGTCATGGACCAAACTATTTAGAAAAGTTGTTTGGAAGCAAAGCCAGAGATGCCCTCAAACCACTTGGAGGAGTCGACAAAGTTGCAATCGCATTATCAGGTATGGAAATAACGAAGTTGCATCTCAAGTATTGTAACCCTAGTGGATAGATGACCAAAAGTATGAACTTTTGGTCATCTTTGGACCATTCTGAAAAGAGTGAATAACATTAATATGAAAACTTCTGAAAAAGGTGTTGTACTTTGGAAAACAATTTTTCTATTCAAACGTCATAATATTTGAAGGATGAATTTACCATCATTCTATTTGAATAAAAAATGTTCAGAAGCTTTTGAGAAGAATGGTGACTTGACAGTCATGTAAAATATATTATGGAACAGACTAGTTTCAAATCATGGAACAAAATGTAATATTGAATCACAGAGAAGCAAAAGAGTGAATATGTAAAAATTAGAAAGTTGTTTTTTATTTTTTCACTTTATTCATAAAAAATAGTCCAACAAATTGCTACTTTTTGTTACTTTTTCTACAATACATGACGATTTTTTCCAATTCGCAATTCGACGTTACGTCTTTTGGACATCATCATGATTTTTTCCTTATTAAAGAATTTTTTTTACACAGATATTTGGGATATTGCCTAAATGTATGAACCTGAGTTTTTTGACTGATGTGACTCAGTGTATGGACGAAGTTGCATGATTTATCTCTCTATCAGTCATTTTGTTATATTTCACTCCATTCCGGGTATGGAAAATTTATTGGAAACATTACATTGATGCAATCAATTCAGTATTTCGAGAATTGGGAAAAGGCAAAGATAGATCACTTTGTTTTGCTCCCAAAACAATTAGGTTCTAGAAACATTAGATGAAACAATTAGATGAATGATACATATTTTTCTATCATTATTGAATATACTGATCGTTTGCAGTGCAATAAATGCTCATTTCTGATATTGAGTGTAGCCAAAAAAAATTGTGGCTTGTTGAACATTTTCGATATTATATAGAAGTTTATTCTTTGCATTAATATATTA